AGGGATCATCATAGCTGAAATGGCCACTAATTTCATTCTTTCATAATTCGTATAGAATTTAGTATTATTCAGGTGTTTTCAGATATTTTTTCTACTTTCTCATGTAGTTTTGCATGTTATTATGACATCCTTGTAAACTTAAAAGTCGTAAACATGTGCTAATACTTTTAAACACGAAAAGATTACACAGTGCAACATAAGCAGTTTGGTTTTGGTTTGTTTTGAATTTCACGCAAAGCTACACAAGGGCTATCTGCTCTCTTTGTATTATTTAAAGTTTGAATACTCCATTGCATTCAAGATCTGGCGGTTCATAGCAATCACACTGCAAATATAACTGTCCATTACAAGTATCACAGGTTATGTGCATTTATGCTGCATTCTTCTATTGGTGTTGACCAGGATTTAATTTGCTGCAATGCAAGGAGTGCTCATACTAGCTCTTAGTCCCTCAGTTACTCTTCCCAGAGTTCCTGAAGTGTTACCTGTGGCATCCATTTACTAGCAAAATCTATTATTGCATGACTTTATGGCAAAAATGGTTTTACTTCCCACATACTGTCCAGAATCGGGACATTACAAGAACAGACAATATCTCACAGAGTGATGAGATGATCTGTCTATGCTACTATGTTGTGGGCCTTGGCTATGCACTATGACAAAGCTAGTGCTGTTATCCAACATGTAGCTCATGACGGAGCTACATGTTCATTAACTATTTCAACAAAGAATGGTCCACCCAGATAATGAACCTCCTATCATACAAGTAGCAGCATGAGTGTCATAAACTACAATTTCAAACAGTTCATTTTTTGTGTCATGCAGTATCTGCAATCGGGAGCCATGAGCATATGACTACCATATGTTACTACACATTCTAATCCATCCTGGAACTGTGATAACACCACCTTAATACTGTTGTCACAAGTGTTGATGTCCAATAGGCACTGACTATTTGTAATAGACATGCCAGTGCTGGGGAATCCACCAAAGCTTCAGAGGTCAAAAATGCTTGGTCACATGCCTTATTTCATTCAAAGTGCATCTTATTTTATTTATAGCAAATAATTGTGCTGTTATCTTGGATAAGTTGGCCTTAAACCATAGACAAGTATGACGTAAAACCAAGGAAACTGCTGCCTTCTCACTTGGTCATAGTTGAGGTAAATCTCTTACTGCTGCCATTTTAGCAAGTCATGTAGAAACTCCATCTCTACTTACAATGAAACTGAGAAACTCTACTTTTGAGTGTATGAGTACACATTTTTTCTGATTTGAAGTCTGCTTTGTTCATCTGCTGGAATATCATTCCCAGGTTCTCAGTTCCAAACTCAAATGTGCAACCAAACATTAAACTCCGTTGATGTAGACCAGACATCACTCCCTTTGCAGCCCCTTGAGTAAACTCCATTACTCCTTGAAAGTGGTGGGCACATTACACAGGCCGAATAGCATGGAACTCATACAAGCTATCACTCATGCTAAGAACAGTCCTAGGTCTGCTCTCATCATCCAGTTCGACTTAGAAGAATCAGATCCAAAATGTTGAACTAACTGGAACCTTTTAATATATCCAGACATTCACTTGCTTACAACAAGAGAAAAACATCAATGCAAGTTACCACATTTACCCATTTAAAAACAACAAAAAATCGTGGAGTAATTTCAATTTTTTCTGACATTCACTATTGGATGTGACTAAGTAATCTCAAAGGTTATACGACTCCATCTCTCAACATCTACTGTGTTTCAGCACATACTACATTCCTATTGCTCCAGAAAAGCTAGTCGTGTGGTTGCATTTTATGTGCATTGCTTGTATCTATTTTGTGCCAACTCACTTATCTCAACCAAATCAGCCAATGGCCACACAATTACATTGGCATTCACAACCAATATGTCACTGAGTTGATTTTTCTCCATTGGATCTAAATTGTTTGCACACTATTTAACCAATGAGTTCAGATGTGGTGGCAGCTACATACTTGCTATCAGCCATGTACAATGGATGTGCTGCCTGCTTTCTGCACAAGAAACAGTTAACTTCACACGTGACTTCTATAACCACGTTACATGACACTGACGCACTAGACTTCGTCTGCAGTAAACTGTGGAACCCCACTTGCATACATGGAGGTACTGGTATACCCTCCCTTACATACACTCATGCAGTCCACTGTACCTGGGCTTCATCTCATCAACATTAGATAACTCTCACATGGAACATCAGTTCACCAGTTACATAGGCAATAATTTCTGCAGTACACCTGTCAGACCTAATGTCAGAGATGACTACTTTCATTCTGTGAATGGCATTTCCTAGACACAGCCGGACTTGTGTTTTGTTTATAATCATTTACCAGAACAAAGGGGCATATATACTGCAAGAACTACCAGTGTTCTGGCTGCTACTGTGTCAACCACAAACTTGATCTTTTGCCCTTGTACCCTCACAAGTTCCACCCAACTTTGTGAAAGCTGGGATGATCCCTAAACTCTTTGGTACAAGCTATTTACCATGTTTACCCAAATTGGTGGCCAGATCCAACTTGGGCTTCATTAGTTTTCCAGAGCTTTGCAGCAGCTTTAGTGTTTGTTGTTGGTACTCCTAGACCTGTTGAGCCATTGGTCGAAACCAACAGCCTTGCCTATTTTACTGCCCAGCAAAGTACAGGCATTATTAGATGAGCCATTGGTTGGTTGAAACCAAGAGTTTTGCTATTTTATTCAGGCAAACTATGAGCAATTCATTCACCACTATTCCCATCCTGAATGATGTCCAGATGGAGGCATCATCAGCATAGGCTTCGGCATATAAACTATGGGTGGACCTTTACATCCCTGCATGTTCGTGGAAATCAGTGTGGTTGTATGATACCACCAGAATGTGTTATCCCCCAAAAGTATTAAGCTCAATGTGATAGTGGTACCTAAGTAGGACAGTTCATCTGAATTATGGCCACTACGGGTTTCTTCCTGTCTAATGACCAGCTCCAAGTTACCATTTCATACATTTTCCCGATAAAAAGTTCGTCAGTTAAAGTGATAATATCCCTCACATCCAGGTGGTGCCTCATAGTCTCTCAATAAGCTTGTCCATGAGTATGTCTT